TTGTCAAATTTGGTGAGAAATTATATTTTAAGTGTTACATTTGAAACTTTGGCATTCGGTGACAAACCTCAACCATCACCCAAGTCCAAAACGAAATAGTAAATCCAATCAAATAAATATCCAAAAAGATAAGATAGACTTCTTTTTTTTTTGTATTGGAGTATTTCTTTTTAAATCAGATTTTTATAGATGCTACACATAAAATTCAAATGTTAGAGCAACTAATGTTTGGATTATTCAACTAAGAAACAATAATAACTAAAATTACAAGAAGTTGATAATCTAATTAATTATTTAAATACTTACCAATATATGGATTGTAGCTTGATAGTAAAAGTTAACTTTTACACATTTCGATTCCAATTTCAAAATCTGTGAAACTTCCATGAGTTTGGGAACTCTTGTAAATTTTGTTTTAGAATCTTGGTTATATCTATTATAAAACGTGAAATAAGCCAACATGGGTGATTGGTTGGATTGTAGTTGTAGGTTAATTGCTGTAGAATTTGCTGTAAACGTTTTGATTGTAGCTGTAGAATTTGGGCTGTAGACATTTTTGCTGTAGCTGGAAAATTTGGGCTGTAGATATATTTGTTGTAACTGTAGAATTTTGCTGTAACTACCTTAAAACTAATGAATGATTGGTACGTATTAGATATATAGAATAATTATCTATTAGTTGACAAAAAAATTATAGTTGTTTATCATATAAATTTTTCAAAATAAAATAAATTATATTTGTAAAGTAATATAGATGAAAAAAATATTTAAAAATGCTACATCTGTATATACAATATTATTTTATATGAATAGTAGTGTGTATTAATACTAATTTCTGTATAGATAATGAAATTAATACAATAGGTATATATATATATATAATATTACAACAGAGTAATATATATTAAGTGACCTAATAACGTTAAATATATTGTGCATGATTGGTTGGGCTTTAAGCCTTGTCTACAGCCTTAATTTTTCTTAAAGTATCATTATGTTACCAATCATGTTGTAGCTTTAATTCTTTAAGTTTCAAACCTACATCCTTTGTTACCAATCATGTTTTTGCTTTAATTCTATAAGCTACAACCTCTTTAGTTTTTTTTTAAATTTCTTTTGTTGTAACATGTAAAATCCTACAGCCCCATTTTTATGGCTGTACACTCTTATTTTTTTTTAAAAATTATTTTTAAAAAATGAAAAAATCAAGATAAGCACATCGATTTACCTAATTGAAAAAAGTCTAACCTATATATATATATGTGTGTGTATATTGCCGTCACAAAGGTTTGAAGAAACACGTCTTCTTATTTTCTCTTCACCACAAATCAAATCAGTGAGTCTCTTTTCTAGATTATACAATTTTTTTTTGTTTACTTTTGTCTCCATCTTCTCTTCATGAATGTTTTCTGTGTTTTTTATTTAATGATTCAGAAGTTCATTATTTATTATGTTCAAATCAACATAAAATTTCTAAATTATAACAATTTTTNTTTGCATAAATTAATTTAATTAAAATTACAGCACATACCTTATAGTTACCAATCATGTTTTTATTTTAATATTACAGCTACAGCTTAATATGTACAGCAAAAAAATCTGCAGCCTAAAAATGTACAGCCTAAAAAATGTACAGCTACAGCCAAAACATTTACAGCAAAAATTCTACAGCAGTTAATTTACAGCTACAGCCGAACCAATCACCCACATTAACTCAGCAACGAACCAATTTCAATTAATCAATACAAAGAACTTGGTTTTAAGTTTTAACCCTCGTATTGTG